TCTGGACGTGGCACAGCTGTGAGGGAGGTGTGGCCTTGTTGGAGGAATGTGTCACTGGGGCTAGCTAGTCTTTGAGGTTTCAGAAGCCCAAGCCAGGCCCAGTGTCTCTCTCTCCCTGCTGCCTGCAGATCCAGATGCAGAACTCGCAGCTCCTTCTCCAGTACCATGTCTGCCAGCTTGCCACTATGCTTCCTGCCATGATGAAACCTCTGAAACTGTAAGCTAACCCCAGCTAAATGTTTTCTTTGATAAGAAATGCCATGGTCATGGTGTCTCTTCACAGCAACAGAGTACTGACTATCCACCTTCTAGCCCCCTTATCCTTACCCTTCACTGCCTTGGCCACCACTGACAGTAATGATGGGGCACCCAGTCCCAAAGGGTGATTGGGACCAGAGGACTCTCAGAAGCAGAGAGGCTGCACAGTAACAGTGGAGGAGGGAGACACACCCCACGGGTAAGCTTCACTGGCCAACAGGAGTTTCTCTGTTCATCTATCTCTACATCAGATCTTTCTAAGTGGAGACCTGTCTCCCTTTGGCCTGTCTGCTGCTGCTCTGGACAGTGCTTCCTTTGGACAGGTGAGCCAAAGCACATGCCGCATCTAGAAGCTAAGGGCTATGGCCCCTGTACCTTGTACTTCTTACCCCATTGCTTTTACTCCCATCATCCCTCTCTAGGCTCTCATTCCCTCACCCACTCACTCAGGTGCTATTGTGTCCCTGGTTCTGGATACAAAGATGAATCTATTTGGGGAGAGGGCACCATAACAAAGTATCATAAACCAGGCCAGATGGCACTGACTTTTAATCCCAGCACATAGGAGTTTGAAGTCCATCTGGTTCACATAACCAGCTCCAAGTCAGCCAAAGCTAAATAGGGAGAGACGGTCTTAAAACAAAACAAAACAATGAAACAAAGTATCACATACTGAGTGGCTCACAACAACAAAAACAGATTCTATTCAGAAGCTCCTGTGTGTCTCCATGCTGTTTCTCCTAAGGACACAAGTCATATGGGATGCAGGGCCCACCTGCTCCAGCATGATGTCATCTTAATTACTTATGCATTACTCTTTATACAGGAAGTTGCATTATGAGGGGCATAATTCAACATATAACAAGGTAACAGCCTTCTGCCCTCAGCCCCTCCTTCTCAGTGACCATGGTCTTATCTTCAGGGTAGGTGGACCATTTGGCTTCTCTAGAAGCCCACAGTCTGGGTGTGAGGCAAGCTGGCAAGCAAGCTCCTCTACAGTATTCTGTGCATTCTTATCCAGAGCCTCCAGCCCTGAGAAGAAAACAACAGACCCATCATGGAAGGCTCCAGAAAGTCAGGCTTTCCAACTGTTCCCAACTTCCTATACTCCTGACCTCCAGCTACCTGAGCTCAATAATCTAACACAGCATCTTCCCCCCCAAGTCGGCCTCTTTCTCCCCACTCCCTAAAAACCTGAAACAAAGTTTAGATTACAGTTTAGGATAAAATGTTTGAAATGTAAGCTTGTTGGGGCAGAGCTGGGTGTCCTTCAAAGGTTCCTGGGCTCCAATTGCCTTGTCCTTATCAGGCATCCTGTCTTTGGTCAGCAGAATGGGCTGTAACTCCCCACTTTTCCTCCCACACACCTTTGTCCCCAGGCCTCTCTGTGGAAGATTCCTTCGTCTTAACTTCGGTGTTCCCAACATTGTCCATCAAAGCCTTATTCTTGTTCAGGGACTTCTCAGATGTGCCCCTAGGGAAATGCATGAGTTCTCCTCTACTCCACATAGCCCATTGCAAGTCTCTTTGGCAAACACCTCTGGCTTTTCTCTCTCCTCCCCTCCTCCTCCTCCTCCTCCTCCTCTCCTCCATTTTTCAAGACAGGGTTTCTCTGTATAGCTTTGGAACCTGTCCTGGAACTCACTCTGTAGACCAGGCTGACCTCAGAACTCACAGAGATCAGCCTGCCTCTGCCTCCCGTGTGCTGGGATTAAAGGTGTGTGCCACCAATGCCTGGCTACATTTTAGTGTGTGTGTGTGTGTGCGTGTGTGTGTGTGGGTGTGTGTGTGTGTGTGTGTGTGTGTGTGTGTGTGTGTGAGCACATGCACATCTCTGCATAAACATTTATTTGGAAATTTTAAAAAATCTTTGGACAGAGCCCAAGCTAGTGCACGTGCATGCAGATGGGAATTACCCCGGAGTGGGCCGTGACTTGGTTTTATGAACACTTGGAAAACAGCCTGTGCCGACTTTAACAGAAGATTGTGGTAGCATATTGTATGTATTCACTTTCAGCCATCATACACTCTTTGAAAGACACTCAGACCCTAGAACCTAGCTAGTTAACTCATGCAGCCAGTCTTAACAACAAATAGCACCCATGAAGTGCCTGGGAGGGTTAGGGGATCCAGTTGGAAATAGAGATGTTGGTTCGAAGTGTGAGAGGGCCACAGTAGGCACGGGGTGCTGGAAACATGGATTCACTCAGAGCTGGTTGCAAATGAAGTTGTGATGAAGGTGCCTTTACTTCACTTTGACCTCCATCCTATCTAGAACCTTCCAAGGTATCAAAGGTGGAAGGAGTAGAAGCAGTGATGTCGGTGGGATATGAAAAGGCACATTTCTGAAGCTGCTGCCCTGTGTCTGAGGTTTTCTTCCCTCCTCACCAAGAGAGACCTGTTGTCCCACTGAGCCTGTTTCTCGTGCCTTCTGTGTGCTTCCATGCTTCCACTGTAGTTCATTTCATTGTATGGCTCGGCTGCAAGAGAGAACTGAGGTGGTAACCGAAAGGAGAAGATCCTTGGTGCTGTGGAGACAGTAAGAGCAGGGACAGCTAGCATGTGCTTAGCCATTAAAACCCACTGAGCATCTCTCCATACTACCCCAGGCTGAGGGGGAGTGTGGGTGTTGGGGAGTGGTCTTTGTGACTTTTATGGTCTGCAGAAAGACAATCTGAGGCAGTTTGGATCATCAGGACTCAGTAGCCCGTGTTGGTTGTAACTTCTGGAGTCTGACCCTGAGTGGGTTTTTTTTAGGCATATGTAAGCACAGCACAATTCGGTGAGAACTATGCTGGTGATGATGAGCTCAATCCTGCACACGAGACAGATCATGCATAAATCTTAAGGACAAGCAAGCTAAATGTAGATGAGCTGAGACTACAGCAAAACTATTTGTAAAGTCCATAAAGATAGGTTCTATAGAGTGACTGGGAAAAACAGATTTACTATGAGGGTCTGGGGAATGGTACGATGCCTGAAGTCTCTGGCCACACGGTAAAAGGCTAGAAAGCATGGCACTCCAGCCTTCTGAATGGATAACAGGTAATGCAGTCCTTCCCTTGAAGAAACAACCTTGTTTGCTACAATTCCAGGTTTCCTATTATTTATTTGTGAACAAAGACCTCTGTATCTCCCTCCTACCCTGAACCTTTTATTTCTTTTTAAGACTTGCTATGTAGGGACTAGGGAAATGGCTCAGCTGCTCAAGAGTATGTACAGGCCATATGTGGTGGCACACACCTTTAATCCCAACACTCAGGAGGCAGAGACTGGTAGATCCTGGGTTTGAGGCCAGATTGGTCTACAAAGAGAGTTTCAGAACAGCCGGATCTACAGGGAAACCCTGTCTTGAAACACCAAAAAGAACGTGTACAGCTGGCTCAGCAACAAAATACAGCTTCTCTACTTGTAGGAACATCCCTGACCTATGTCATAGCCCAGTCTATACCACAGGCACATGGGTGGGTTGTTTTATGCAACTAGAGGTAGGAAATTATGGATGCATTCTGTGATGTAGCTAGGAACTCAATCTAATGCTTCCCCGGAGTTGAAGATCTCTGTGAAGATCTTGCTACCATGAGATATATTAAGTGTGGCACAGGCACACACATGTCCCATTGTTACAGCTTCAAGTCAGTAAATAATGGCAGGGAATGTACACTTTGTTTCTTTTTTTTTTTTTTTTTTTTTTTGGTTTTTCGAGACAGGGTTTCTCTGTGGCTTTAGAGGCTGTCCTGGAACTAGCTCTTGTAGACCAGGCTGGTCTCGAACTCATAGAGATCCTCTTGCCTCTTCCTCCCGAGTGTCTCCCTTGGCAGCCAGGCTGCCTTTCAAGTCAGATTTCTGCATCCTTCTAGGTCCTGGGACTAAAGGTGTGCTGCACTATACCCAGCTTGTTTTTGTTTTTATAAAATGGAATTTACTTGAAATAAGGTATAGCTGGCTGGTGGTAACAAGAGTACCACCCAAGCCTACACTTACAAGGCAGCAAGTACTCAATACTATAAGCGACCTTTTCAGACTCTTATTTAGAAAACTAAGAATGTGACGGTTAGCATAGAAGACCATTTGTATATAAAAAGCCTTGGGCTGGAGACTGTTAGTTCAGTCTGTAAGTGCTTGCCTTGCAAGCATCAAGACCCATGTGAAAAAAAGCCAAACATGATGGTGTGTATCTGTAATTCCAGTGTTGGGGAGGTGAAAACAGAATCCTGGGGGCTCACTAGCCAGCTAGCCTAACCTACTTGGTGAGCCGTAGGTGGGTAGTGAGGGACTCTGAGATAAAAAGTACCTAAGGAATGACATTTGAGGTTTTCCTCTGGTCTACATGTGTGCGCACGCACGCAAATGCTTTTTAACCCCAGCACTTGGGAAGCAGAGGCAAGCATATCCCTGTTAGTTTAAAGCCAGCCTGTCTACATAGGCAGCTTTGGGCCAGACAGAGCTATGACCCTGTCTCAAAATGAAATAAAGCAACCTATTTATTATGTTGATGGCACATGGTCCTTTTCTTTTTTCTCTAAAAAATATGGTCCTGCTGCTTAGCCCAGGCAGGCTGTGGATCTTCCTGTATCAGTCTCTCCCAGGGCTGGAATTGGAGCCCTCGCATACACCTAGGTCTACACAAGACATTTATAAAAAACTCCAATGCAAACTGGTGAGCCAACTGGAACAGGGGAAGAAAAAGGAGTGTGTAGTTTTTAGACTTGGACCACCTGCTTGAATTAATAATGATTACATTTAAAAAATAAATCATGAACTTTTATTATCCCGAACCACAGAGAAGGGTCAAGCCTGAAGTTCATGGGAACTGAGTTGCCACACCACGGAGGGCAAAGCTGTGGCAGCACCCTAGAGTGTTTCCTCAGAGTCTCTCCATCGCCCCCTGCAGGTGGCCCCGTTAAAGCAATCAGACACAAGTGACCATCAGGGAGAGGACAGATGCTGTTGGCAGCAGCACCTGCCTGCCCTGTGGTGGTCACCTGGTACCAAGAGGTGGTGACAATCTGCAGCCATGCCAGCAGGTGTCCCCGCCTAGTCCTGTCCCGTCGCTCTCAGGGGCTGCTGTGTCTGCTCTTTGGCCTGTGGGTGGTTTTGAGAATCTGCCATCAGCCATCACTCTGAGTCTGAGCTCTCACTCGACTTGGAAGCCTTGTGCTTTCGTTTCTTCCTCTTTTTCTTTTCCTTCTTTTTTTTCTTGTGTTTTTCTTTCTTCTTCTTTTTCTTGCGCTTCTCTTTGCCTGAGGAGCTGGAGCTGCTCTCGTCTTCATCTGAGGTGGAGTCCTCCAGTAACTGTTTTAACTGCTGGATCCTAAACAGATTCATCACAACATTCCACTTAAGAGCAGCCCTGAGCCAGGGAAATCATGAGTAACTACCTCGCTAAAGACAACCCCCTTCATTGTTCTAAATACCTGTGCAAACTCCCATAGCCCTGTAACTTCTAACAAGTGCATACCCACTGAAACATTCCCACTGCTGTTTCACAGTAACGCAGCTTCTCAAGAACTACAATACAGCCGATTAGAAAACAACCCTTTTTGTTCTGGGTGACAGGGTCCCAGTGTATTCTAGCCTAGCCTCAACTCCTATGTAGTGAAGGATGACCTTGAACTTCTGAACCTCCTGCCTGCACCTCCCAAGTGATGGTGGTATAGGTGTGCATTATAATAACTGGTATATGAAATTCTGGTGATCAAACCAAAACCACAGCTTCATGCATGCTAGGTAAGTACTTTGCCAACAACACTACACCCCCCTTCCTTAATCTTGTCTGTATGCTTGCTTAAAGCACTCTTTAGGCTGACACAGGAAAGTCTAGAATTTGAGGACAGCTTGAGCTGCAACAACACACACACACACACACACACACACACACAAACACCCTAAAGATACAGCACAATGTGATTGTCCACATCTCAAGGCACGCCTACTGTTTATCTAGGGAACTGTAGTAGAATCAGGCCTACTCATTCCCGGACATCTCCATTCAGTGATAAATATTCCTCTCCCAGCTATTCAGTTAATGAACTGGGATTACAAATGGTAATGGCCCCCAGATAGTAGGACACTTGTTTAAAACACCATATAGTTTCGGATTTGAAGAGGACACTGCTAACAATGATTGGACAGCCTTACCTTACATCCTTCTCATGTCTTTTATTCTCTCGAATGATGTCATACATGGGATCCTCGTGTGCCTTAAGGGTTAGAGAAAGTTACATTATGATCAGTAATCATGACTGCTTTATTATGTAAAAACTTAACCTCTATGAACTGAAACTGGGATTTGATGCAGATTCTTGTTTAGTTTCTCTAGCCTTGATTGCCTTCAAACTGTCTGTGGAGTGCAGTCTGGCCTTGAATTGTTGATTTTCCCTCCTAGGCCTCCTGAGTGCTGGGGTTACAGTTAGCTCCCTGTAGCTTGATGTTATATGTATCAGCATCTGTGTTTCTTCTCTCAATCACACAGGTTTTACCATGTAGCTCAGGCTAGCTTTGAACTTTCTATGACACCGAGGACAACCTTGACCTTGAAGTATTGACCCTCCTGCTTCTACTACCTAAAGTGCTGGATTACAGCCTTTGTCACCAGCCCAAGCTTATTTTGACACAAGGTCTCACTTTGTCATCTTGGGTCACCTCATTCTATGTCGATCCTGTTTCAATCTCCAAAGTGCTGGGATCCCAAGCAATAACCACCACACCTACTTACAATATATTTTAATCCCTTTAAAAGACTATGATTGAGCCGAGTGTTGGTGGCACATGCCTTTAATCCCAGCACTCGGGAGGCAGAGGCAGGCGGATCTCTATGAGTTCGAGGCCAGCCTGGTCTCCAGAGCGAGTGCCAGGATAGGCTCCAAAGCTACACAGAGAAACCCTGTCTCGAAAAACCAAAATAAATAAATAAATAAATAAATAAATAAATAAATAAATGACTATGATTATTATTATTTGGGGCTTTTGGAGATGAGAGTCTCACTATGTAGACCAGACTGGCCTCTAACTCATGGCAGTCTTCCAGCTATAGTCTTCTGAAAGTTGGGATTATAGCTGTGTGCCACCATACCCAGGATTTATTACTATAAACACTAAGGCTATAAAATACTTCTCCAATTATAATATACAGGAAATAATTAAATATTCCATATAAAGAAACACAGGAGAGGATGGAAAGATGGCCACTGGCTGCTCTTCCAGTGGACACGGTTTCTATTCCAAATCTACATGAGCTCACAGTCCTCTGCAACTCCAGTTCAGGGGATCTGACGCCCTCTTCTGGCTTCTCTGGGCATTGCAAGACAGGCAAGCAAAACATTCATACATAAAATAAAAATAAATAAATCTTTAAAAATTTTAAATAATGACCTCTAACTTAAGGCAATTCTGCTTCCCCTGGGTGCTGTGATTACAGGCACAAGGTACCACCTTTGAGGCAGGCAAGCATAGAGGTTAGTTTAGAAGCCTGGCACTCCCCTTGTTTTGGGCTATGCACTTGCCAAGCCTGTGCACACACCCTACTCTAAACAATGAACTGAGTTCCTCTTCACAGTGACTTCCAAGCACACATGGATTCTGAAGGTACAAATGTAGAGCTATTGTGCCTAGACAAGTGGTTTTAGGTTCATGTGTGATGAGGAAAAACTTTTTTTATTTTTTTTTATTTTTTTGAGACAGGGATTTTCTGCCTTGGCTGTCTTGGAATTCATTTTGGAGATCAGGCTGGCCTTGAACTCACAGAGATCTACCTGCTTTTGCCTCCCATGTACTCAGATCAAAGGTGTATGCCCAGCCCCTAAGTGAACTTTTAGGGAGAATGTTTAGTTACCATCTTAGGCCTATGTATAATGTGTGCACATATGATTAAATCAGATGTACCATGGGAAGTGACAAGTCCAGGAAAAAAAATGGTTATACAACTCAAATCTATCAATCAAAATAGAGAACCACTCTATGCCTAGTGACTGAAACCCTCTGTCCTTTAGCTCATTAAGCCACAGGCCTGAACTGGGTCCTCCATTCCTTGATGTGGGTTGGGTGGCCCTGGGTCAGTCTTTCTGTGGTTTGTTTTTTAGAGACAGGATCTCACCTATGAAGTCCTGGATGGCATGGAACTCACTATGTAGACCAGGCTGTCCCAGAACTCAGAGATCTGCTGCCTGTGCCTGAGTGCTGGGATTAAAGGTGTGTCACCATGCCTGGCTCTCCTGTGTCAATCTCGATAGAAGATTCATTCCTAATATGTACTGTTACTTTGGTTTGAATGACATACTCTTGCTCTTTGCAAATCTGTGTGTGCATTTATGTCATTATGTTTTAAACAGCATTTTAGTTTTTATTTCAGTGCATGTGTGAATGTACGCCATGTATAAGGGGAGTGCCCATGGAGGCCAGAAGAGGGTGTCATGTACCCTGGAACTACAGTCACAGCAGATGTGAGCTGCTTGATGTGGGTGCTGGAAACTGATCTTGGGTCCTCCAGAAGAGGGGCCAAGTGCCTTTATTATTTTTATTTTTCGAGACAGGGTTTCTCTGTGGCTTTGGAGGCTGTCTTGGAACTAGCTCTTATAGACCAGGCTGGTCTCGAACTCATGGAGATCCCCCTGCCTCTGCCTCCTGAGTGCTGGCACTAAAGGTGTGCGCCACCACTTCCTGGTGCCAAGTGCCTTTAAATTAAGCAATTTCTCCAGCCCCATTATTATTATTTTAACATTTATTTATTTATGTGTGTGTGTATGTGTATATGCATGTGTGTGTATGTATGTGTGTATGTGTGTATGTATGTGTATGTGTGTGTATGTGTTTATGTGTGCGTGTGTGTATGTGTGTATGTGTGTGTGTAAGCACAAAAATGTGTACATGCTTATGTGCCACTGTGTGCTCATGGAGGGTGGAGGACAACTTTCAGAAGTCTCCTTTTCCCTCGAGTGTGGCTCAGTTGGTAGAGAGCAAGTGCAAATAAACTTAAAAATCTATACTCTCATCAACCAGGAGTAATTACTGTTATTTTTTGTGCATTTTATTATTATTCAAAATTTTTTGAGACAAGGTTTCTCTGTGTTAACAGCCCTGGCTGTCCTGGAACTCGTATTGTAGACCTAGCTGGCCTGAAACCCACAGAGATCCACCTGCCTCTGCCTTCCTAGTGCTGGAATTAAAGGTGTGTGCCATCACTGCCTGGCTAGTTTTTGGTATATTTTATAAAGAATTTGAGCCATAAGATATATGCAACTTTTTTGTTTGTTTTGTTAAGAGTCTCACTGTGTACCTCTGGCTAACCTGGAACTTGCTCTGGAGACCAGGCTGGCCTCAAGCTCAGAGACTGAAGTGCCTTGCCTCTGAGTGACAGGACTACAGGTATGGACGTCCACACACAACCACAGGTTGTTTTTCACTTAGGTTTTCATGAACCCTTTCCCCTAACAATCTGCAGTCTTCAACATCAGAATATAATTCTATGTCTGGGACTATAGGGAGTACACAGTGTTTCCTAGAAGGCAGGAGGCCCTGGGCTCTAGCATCGCAGAGTCTAGACAATGCTTCCCTCTTTCATTTTGGAGAAGTAAGTGTGTGTGTGTGTGTGTGTGTGTGTGTGTGTGTGTGTGTGTGTGTGATGAAGTCATCTCCCTAGTCCCTAGAGAATGCATTTTGATGTTTTGTTTTGGGAGAGGCTGTTGCTGCTGGCCCCCAACTGGCCTCACGCAGGGTCTTTTTGTTCTTTCTCAAGAGCTGAACTGCAGACACAGCTCACCACACCCGGCCCTGTCTACCTCATTTTGGATATACCCATAACCTTAGTACTTTACAGATCAAGCCTTACTCGGCAGAACTAGGTACTGGGTGTGAATGCACACCTCCATGAGGCTTTGTGAAAGTGCAGTGAGGAGATGGGAGAGCTATCTTATGTCATCTTAGCTAATACACACTTCCAGCTCCAAAGACACACCTAAGTTTACATGGGAACACAAATGTGAATTTTACAGATAGTAAACTACAGAGAAGGCTTGAACACATGGTGCTGGATTTGAGAAAACGAATCACTGTTTCTCAGGTTAAGCAAAGAATATCTATCAGCCGGACATTGCTGGCGCTCGCCTTTAATCCCAGTACTCGGGAGGCAGAGGCAGGCGGATCTCTCTGAGT